TGGTTGCCATATGCTAAACCACTCGAGGGAAGAATAACCAGGGAAAGAAGCACAGCCAGGCAGCAAGTCTGCAGACAGGGTCTTACCTGCTAGACAAACTAGCAAAGTCTCCTCCATCTAGCAGCCTGATTTTGCAGAACAGAACCCCATTGACAAAGGGGACAGCAGTCAGCTCTTCTAGAGTAAAACTTGTCTGAAACTTGAATTTCTTCTTCTTCATCAAGAAAGCCATGGGCAAATTCAGCGTGGAAAGCTCAGGAATTCCAAACAAGATCAGGGAGAGCTGGCTCACAGCACAAACAGACAAGCAGAGGAAGGGCAGTCGTTCCGGGAGCACGAGAGGGATAAATTCCAGTTCAGTTACAACGACGGCCCGGCCTCAAACGCACGATTCTCTTCTCTTTGGTGGTCGGATCTGGCTGTGGGATCATCGCCACGGCAGGCTTCAGGTGAGCAGGAAGAGGTCAGATTGAATCTCTGCAACATCTCCAAGGGAAAAGGGAGGGAGGGAAGTTGGGTCTCAGCTCCAGACCAGCAGGAGCTGTCCCAGTTAGAGGCTGCAGTGCTCTGTCTTCAGCACAGCCCCTCCTGAAAGCGTCTCATGTGAGAAGTCATCTCAAGTCCCCGGAGAGGCCTCAAGTCTTCGGGCAGCACATTCAAAGAGCTTCCAGTCTCTATCTCTTGTGCAACTCTTTGACACAGGTCTTTGGGTCAGCCTTTGGGAGGGAAATGAGTAAATTAGTTCCAGCCAGTCTTGGACTCCTCCTCCTGCTCTAAAACCTGTTTGGATAGGTAATATTCAGTCCAGACTCATTCCAGTCTGAAGAGGTATGGCCCCAATTAGCCCAGCCCCAACATCCTCTTTCCCCTTTTTGCCTAGGGCAAGCTTCACTGCTGTCATCCCCCTTGTAATTTCTGTTTTGCAAAGCAGCTAATAAAAATTTGCTCTAATTTCAGTCATCATGTTTAGAAGCAGTTTACAGCACAAGATCATTCTAATGTGCAGTCTAACAAGAGGAAGGAAAAGCCATCTCAAGAAATGCAAAATACGTTTCTTTCCTGCATTTCCAACCAGCCCTAAGTGTTAGCACCTGTATCTTATAAATGGAGAAAGCAGCAGAGAGGGGAAAAAAACAAGCAGCCTGCTCCAGATTACACAGCATAACAACCGAATCAGGTCATCGGGCTGTCCAATGGCCGGGCCCACCGGGAACGCTGCCTTCCCCGGCACCGGCTCCGCACAGAGCTGCGCCCTGCACGGCTCAGACCTGGGGCTGGACACGGTGATTTCGTTACACATTTACAAAACACCTAAAGCAGGGGGGCAGCAGCTGATTAACATCTCAGAGGGACAAGGTTATGAACGCCGGGCAGTAAACAATCCTCACTGACTCCAGGAGCTGCCTGCGTGGGTGATTAGAGACCCTCCCGTGCCCGGGGGCTGCGGGAGAACCCAGCTGGCTCTGCCGGGGCCCGGGCACCTCCACGGGGGCTCCGCTGTCCCGCAGACACCTCGGAGCACGGGGGGGAGAGAGGGGTCAGTACTCCTCACCATGAGCAGCAGTGTGCCCCTGCGCCGAGCTGCTGCCAGCTTCCAGCCTTGGCTACTGTGAGGTCACAGCCTGTCCCCTGGCACTGCGGGGTCACGCACTGAATGGTGTGACCCAGCTCTGTCTGAGCCGGGCACTGAGCTGTGCCCAGGTCCCAGCCAGGCACTGAGCTGTGCCCAGGTCCCAGCTCTCTGAGCCGTGCACTGAGCTGTGCCCAGTCCCAGCTCTCTCTCTGATTCGGGCATTGAGCTGTGCCCAGTCCAGCTCTCTCTCTGAGCCGGGCACTGAGCTGTGCCCAGTCCCAGCTCTGTCTCTGATTCGGGCACTGAGCTGTGCCCATATCCCAGCTCTCTCTCTGAGCCGGGCACTGAGCTGTGCCCAGTCCCAGCTCTGTCTCTGATTCGGGCACTGAGCTGTGCCCATATCCCAGCTCTCTCTCTGAGCCGGGCACTGAGCTGTGCCCAGTCCCAGCTCTCTCTCTGAGCAGGGCACTGAGCTGTGCCCAGGTCCCAGCTCTCTCTCTGAGTCGGGCACTGAGCTGTGCCCAGTCCCAGATGTGCACTGAGCTGTGCCCAGTCCCAGCTCTCTCTCTGAGCCGGGCACTGAGCTGTGCCCAGTCCCAGCTCTCTCTCTAAGCCGGGCACTGAGCTGTGCCCAGTCCCAGCTCTCTCTCTAAGCCGGGCACTGAGCTGTGCCCAGTCCCAGCTCTCTCTCTGTGCAGGGCACTGAGCTGTGCCCAGGTCCCAGCTGTGCACTGAGCTGTGCCCAGTCCCAGCTCTCTCTCTGATTCGGGCATTGAGCTGTGCCCAGTCCAGCTCTCTCTCTGAGCCGGGCACTGAGCTGTGCCCAGTCCCAGCTCTCTCTCTGAGCAGGGCACTGAGCTGTGCCCAGTCCCAGCTCTCTGAGCCGGGCACTGAGCTGTGCCCAGTCCCAGCTCTCTCTCTGTGCAGGGCACTGAGCTGTGCCCAGGTCCCAGCTGTGCACTGAGCTGTGCCTAGTCCCAGCTCTCTCTCTGAGCAGGGCACTGAGCTGTGCCCAGATCTTAGTCCACCTCCTGGCCCTCTGAACTCCCGACCGCCCGGCAGCCCGGCCCCAGGGGTACCGAGCCATGCCCGGGCCGCAGCCCAGCCGGCCCCACAGCCCGTGCACCGAGCCGCAGCCCGGGCTCAGCTCCCTCCCAGCCCGTGCACCGAGCCGCAGCCCGATCTACCCCGCTCCCGGCCCCCCATCACCAGCTGCCTTACGGAAGGTCTCAGCCCGCTTCCCAGCACCCTCCACTGACCTGCGGCGCGGTCCCGGCGCGGTCCCGGCCCGGTGCCCGCCCGGCCCTGCCCGCTCCTCCAGCCCGCTCCTCGCACGGCGGCCGCCGCTCCCCGACACGGCCGCCTCTGCCCGCGCTACGCCAACTGCGGCCGCTACGCCGAGAGCGCAGGCAGTGCGCGGGCAGCGCGCGGCGAGAGCGGCGCCGCCGCGCTTTGGGAATAGCGACGGCACGTAACACCCGCCCTCCCCCGAGACGAGAGAACGCGAGCGGCGCCGCCCGATTGGACAGCAGCAAGGAGGCGGGCTGAGCGCTGCGAGGCAGTGATTGGTTATCCCGGCACGGGGCGGGGAAGAGAGGGCGAGGATTGGAGGAGAGGGCTGTCGGTTTGGACAAGCCCCGCCCCCCGCCTGAGGGGGTGGGCGGGAAGCCGGGTCCGCGGTGTCCCCTCAGCGGGAGCTGGGGCGCCGGGCTTCCCGCCCCGCAGGGTGTCTTGGAGCCCCTCTGCAGGCTGAGCAGCCACAGCTGGCACGGGAGCTGAGGGGATGGCAGGGGGCTGCGCTTGGGGTGTCCCTGCCTGGGCCGAGGTGATGGCAGAGTCATCTGGCATGAGACATAAGGAGCTCTTGGGAGCGGGTCCAGTGGAGGGCAGTGAGGATGATGGGGAATTGGGGCATCTCTGCTATGAGGAAAGGCTGAGGAAGGTGGGCCCTTTTAGCCTTGAGAATGGATAATTGAAAGGGGACCTCATTAATGTGTATGAATACCTGAAGTGGAGTGCCCAGAGGATGAAGCTAGGCTGGGCTCAGTGGTGCCAACCACAAGGACAACAGGCAGTAGGCAAAAAGCAATGCCCAGGAGTTTTACCTGAACATAAGGAAGAACTTCTTTCCTGTGCAGTGCTTGTTCCCTGGCCGAGAGAGCTTGTGGAGGCTCCCTCACTGGAGATATTTTAGAACTGTCTGGACGCAATCCTGTGCTATGTGCTCTGGGATGACCCTGCTTGAGCAGGAAGATGGGGCCAGATGACCCACTGTGGAGCCCTTCAACCTGACCCATTGTGGTTTGGTGAGAGATGTCATCTCTGCATCTTCCTGACAGCCAGGAACTCTTCCCGTGGCTTGTCCTGGTGCCCAAACAGCTCCTGGTGACGTCTCTCGTCAGCGTGTCCCACGGGCTGCAGGCACTCTGTTCTTCAGGCCACTCAGCTGTGGCCATCCCGTCCCCTCAGGGTGCCACAGAGTGGCTGTGGGTCAGGCTGCCAGCAGGAGGGAGGCCCTGGTCCCGCAGAGCCCTGGGGAGCAGCACGAGGCAGGGCCCAGAGCTGGAATCTCACCCTCCACAAGTGAGATGTGGCAACCAGTTGTGCAGATCCCTTCATGGAAACGGCTCCCTGTTATTATGTGCTGCTCTGTGTCCAGCGCTGCAGCTGGGATCCCTGGTCAGGCTGGATTCCATCGTCTAAGGGCAAGCAGAACAAAATGTCTCACCTTGTCCTGAAGGAGCCTGCAATCATCAACGTGATTTGCCTAGATTTAAAATTTAGGCGTTTGCCCAAGAGCCTCTGTGGCTGAGAAGTTGAGGCTCATATGGGAGGAACTGTTCCCAAGGCTGATATGCAAAGCTTGGATGAAAGCCTGGGAGTCCTTGCTCTCTGCCAGGCTTTGATGCCCAGGCTCCTTGCCTGTAATCTGCCATCTATGCAGACAATGTCAGAGCTATCAAATAATTCCACCACAATGTGAACCTTGAGAAAAAAAAAAAAAGAAAAAGAAAAAGAGAGTCTGCTAGGAAAAGTACGCAGAAATGTCCTTGGATAAAAGTGAAAAATTGGATCAAGCCACATGCATTATGATTTTTGCTTACCAGGTTAAGCTTACACAGACTTTGGACTGGGAAAACATTTGGTGTTGGTTCAGTGAAACCATCACAGGACATCCCAGGAGTTACCAGGACACAGCAGGGTTTACAGGCTGCTCTTAGAGGTGAGGCTTGAATCCTTCCATCAATTCCTATCTGCTGTTTTCAACGCTTTGAGGCATTGCTGGAGATGGGCTGGCATTTTTTGATTTCTGTTTCCAGCTTATTGGGAAAGAGCTGAGCCTGCTAAATATTTGATGTTTACAAGCTCTGCTGCTGAAATACCAGAGGCATCTGAAGAATCCAGCCCAGTTCTCACACCTCTCATGCCCCAGCAGATGCTGACAGACATGTGGATGCTCTGCTTCCATCCCTAGGTAAAGGACAAACGATCCCTGTGTGTGGTGTGGGAGGAGACTCTGTTATCTGCTATGATTCACTCTGGTAAATAACCTTCTCGAGGACTTCTCTTGTTTATAGCAACAGCCTCAAATGCTAAAGTTTACAGAGACTTTAATCCTTGCTGTTCTCACGCATATTTACTTTGCAGTTTTATCAGAAACATCTCTTGAAAACCTCAGTGTTTTTATAATTAATTGAATAATGTGACTGATGTTAAAAATAAATGGGTTTGGAAGAATGCCCAGCGAGCTGCTGAGCAGTGTGTAGTATAGCAACCGTAGCTGCAGTCTCAGGGATGTGTGTATTTTCCTAACAAACGCAGTCTCATGACTGAGAGATTAAATCTTTATTAGTTCAAAATTCACCCTGTTGATTTTGCTGTGTTTATGCTGCATAATTGTTTCTGGAGAAATTCACATGTTTTAAAGGGACAGTGCCCCTGTTTACAGAGGGGATGGGTTAGTGTGAGTCTCCCACAGAGGGAATGTGGGTGTAGGGATATCTTCATCCATCCACCATCCCTCTGGCTTTATATTATTTTCTGCTCCAGGTGCAATGGGCTGTGACCAAGGTGCTTTGATTCTGCTCATCCCAGACTCACATCCTATGGATTTCTCTATGCTGTGCCCACCTCACCTCTGCTCCATGAGCCTCAGCCACATCCCTGCCCCGTGCTCTTCCTGACCTAAGCCTTTCCTGAGGCCGCTCCCCGGTGCCGCCACCACTTCCTCAACTTTTGCTGGCTCAGGGCACTGTCTTATCAGTCTGGGATATTTTTATCAGTCTGTGCTCTGCCGTTCAGTCTGGGCTCACCTCTGCTCTCCTGGAGAGGTGTGCCTGGCTGGCCAGGGCTGGGACCGCTGTGCTCTGCGAGTGAGCACCAACAGACGTGCCTTGTCTTGCCTCCTCTCTGCTTTGAGCACAGAGATAAAGCAGCAGTGGAGAAACAGGGCGAGATAAATGCAGGAGGGACAAAACTCAGTGAGGTGAAGTGAGGTAGATCCTGTAATGCACTCGGTGAGCCTTCAAATCCTATCTCTTATCCCAAGGGAATCCCGGATGCACAAGCCCTGCAAACTACATCATCAGCATCTTCCTCTGGAAAGCATCATCACGCTAATTCATTTGTCCTGGCAGCCAAATGATTAAAGTTTTAAAACAAAATTACACACGTTGCTGTAACAGCATAAACACAGTAATGGTTCTCTGTTACACCTGTCGCCTCTGCTGTAATGGCCTTAATGAGCTTTCAGCCTCATCATCCAAAAAAAAAGGATACAAAACTCAGTGAGGTGAAGTGAGGTAGATCCTGTAATGCACTCGGTGAGCCTTCAAATCCTATCTCTTATCCCAAGGGAATCCCGGATGCACAAGCCCTGCAAACTACATCATCAGCATCTTCCTCTGGAAAGCATCATCACGCTAATTCATTTGTCCTGGCAGCCAAATGATTAAAGTTTTAAAACAAAATTACACACGTTGCTGTAACAGCATAAACACAGTAATGGTTCTCTGTTACACCTGTCGCCTCTGCTGTAATGGCCTTAATGAGCTTTCAGCCTCATCATCAAAAAAAAAAAAAAAAGGATATTATCATTATCACACCACTTGAAGCTGTAAATGCATTCTTGGAGCTGTGAGTGGGATGCAATGCCCTGCTCCAAGGAGCAGTGGGTTGGAGCTGCAGTGGGTGGGTGCCTTCCCCAGAACTGGGGCAGGTCCAGGCTGGGGAGCTCCCAAAATGGGGCAGGGGGTGCAGACAGCACAGCAGTGTGAGCTGTAGCATGCAGACAGCTGGAAACCCTGTGAGGGGAATGGGTGCCTATCCCCATTGCACAGGATTATCCCATGGTGTGGAGTTATTCCAAGCTTGCATCTTCTCAGCTTAATAACAGGCTGTGAGCTGCACTTTGACCTGCTTGTGTTTTTCACTTGTTCCATATTTAACTGAACTCATCATCATAAAGGCCAGGAACTGTTTCACTTTCTGTGCCAGGCTGGGTTTCCTGTTGGATGTGCAGAGGACACACCTGCACGGTGGGTTTCTGGCCTGCCAGCACTGGGAATCCTGTTACTGAAAAAAGGGAGCCCAGGAATCTGGAGTCGGTGGATTCCTTTCCCCAAAAATGTGGTTAGACCTGAAAATCCAGCTGCCTGGCTTTTTTTGTTTACTGGTTTCCATGTCTGCTTCAGTGTGTCCTGGGAATGTGCTGCAGAACTCTCTACTTCATTCTGTGAGGTCTGTGGGTGGAACTGGATCTTGTTTGCCCCTTCCAAAATCTGCAGACTTGGAACCTGCTTTGCCTCAAGGCTTGTTGTGTTTATTGAGCCTTATCCTGTGTCTGTATCCCAGCTTCCATCCCTTCAGTGTTGTGCTGGACAAGAGACTTGCTGGTTGTGGCCGTGGTCTGTCCCACTGACTGCAACCCCACAAATGCCGCTGTTACCCCAAATACATCAGAAGCAACCCTAAGTCTGTGGTTCCCCCGTGACCCAGCAACCTCTAATTTGGGATCCAGGTGACAGAGGTGAAAGAAACTGGCCCTGCTGGGCTGGGATTCTGCCTCGGGTTAATCACCTTCACATCTGGGACTCATTTGCAGGTGATAGTGACTTCATTCCCCACTCAAAACGTGGGGTGGAAGCCGTGCTCCTCATTCTCACCAAGCTTCTTATCAGCTGCTTTCAAGCACGACAAAGAATCTTAAATGTTTTAATTTTCATACTGACCTGATCACCCTTCTGCTGACAATATTTGCAGGCAACAACCTCAGGTGACAACAGGAAAAAACCCACAAACGACCCCCAGAAGGATGCTTTGCCAAAACAGGCTTGCCAAACTTTAAAATCGGAGGAAGTAGAGGATATTTGGGTGAGTGTGCAGGGCATCTCATTCTGTGCCTTGGAGGGGATCTGCTCCCAGATCTGCTCTGCAGTGGTGGCAGTGCACGGTACTTGTGGGAAACTGACATATGTAAGAAAAACCCTAAAAAACCCTTAAAACCTGTCCTAAACCTTAAAACCCGTTCTAAAAAACCTTAAAACCTGTCCCTTTGCTTATAAGGAAGGACTTGATGTGTTTTTTTAAGTCTTGTGCTTGCCCATTCGGCTCTGCAGTGAACTCATCCCAAAGGCAGACATCTCTGTCCTCTGCCGTGTCTTTGGGAAGCAGAGGGACCTGGTCTGAGTCCCCAGGCACCAGGACTTCTTTTTTTCCAGGGATCTCTCACAGCTGTGCTCTGCCCTTTGAACTCCTCCTCTCCAGGCTGTCAGCCCTGCACGGGTTTGCCAGCGGAGGCAGATCCCGGTCTGGAGGCCGGGGCGGTGCCGGGACGGCGCGGTGGCACAGCTCGGGACCCGGCGGGCAGTGCCACCTCCTGGCGAGCCGGGCAAACAGCTCTGCTCCCGAGGCAGCAGCGCTGCTCCTGGAGCCTTGGAGCTGCCTCCCTGGCCGCTAACATTTTCTTCTCAGCACTGAGTCCCCTGCCAAACTTCCCTTTCCCCAGCAGGCACGAAGATGCTGCTCACCCCCATGACCAAGGCACCCTGTGGCAGAACATCTCTGCATGGCTCCTTCCCAGTCTGGATGTTGAATACAAATCTCTAAATACAAAAAGAACGGTAGAGGAGAACAAATAAACATCTATAAATATTCCTCCTTAGCTTTTGTTCTGTTTGGGCATCCGTTGGTTGCTCAGTTGAATGTCCTGTGTTCTTGTTTGCCCTGTCCATGTCCTGTTCACCTATTCATCCTGGTTTTAACATTAAGGGACACTTTTCTCTGTCCCCTCCCAAATTTGATGACCACTTCATGAGCAACAACCAAGCCCCTCATCACACAGTTCACCCTGTATTTAAAATGTTGCTACATATCTTTAATGAGACAAAAATCTGTACACAGAACACATGCTTGGGTGCTGCTGGCTTGACTAAGCTCTGCATTCATCCTGAAAAGACAGGAAAAATGGGTGGTTCCAATGGCAACATGTTTAGTCCTTCAGAAAAGCAACACAGCTGCAGTGCTTAGTCACTGAAAAAAAATGCACACTGCAATTTAAAGCCAAAGGCTGGTATTTCTACCATTATTTGAGGCTATTGTGGCATCTTCTGAGCAGTTGGGAGATTACTGTATTTCAGTAATCCGTCAGACACTGTGAAATAACTCGTGCTCCAAGGTAAGCCTGTAGAAGCTATTATTTGAAAAAGACTGTAATTATGTAAATATAAGGCCACAAGGTTCACAAACAAGAGGAAAAGCTACTGTGACTTGTGTTTGTTCACAGCTCTCTCTGGTCCCTTCACAGTGAGGATTCTGTGTTGCAAAGTTGTTGTCATGAACTCATTCTCACTTCCGCACACACCAATGAACCGAAACAGCCTGTTTACCAAAATGTATTTTTTATTAAAATTCATATTTGTAAAGGAGAGATCATTACAACAAATGAGGTAAACCAACACATATGACATAGTTCTCACTCTAAAAATAAATTTCAATTCAGCAATTGATTTGATTCCACAAAGTCTAAGAGAAAGAGTCAGGCCAAGTGCTACTCATGGTGAGATGCCAGACAAGGCAGGATCCACCCTGACTCAGCTTGGAGGTGTCAGTCCCCAGGGGCTGGGAGTCTTCCAGGGACCAAACCCTTCTCACTGTGTTGTCCTTGTCTCCCCCGTCAGATTTGTAGAAAGGAGGAGATGAGTGAAGGCCAGGGACTGACAGCAGTGACCTCGTCACCTACTGCTCTAAGCAGGGGTCCCCCATCAGCATCTCCCCATTAAAGGCTGTGTAAAGGTTTTGATTGTGCAAATTCACTCCCTCGTCAGCCCTAAAGGAGACTTAACAGCAAGTAAATACCAGCTCTGGAAAAGTTCAATTTCAAAAGTAATAACCTGGCAAGCAACAAGCCTGTAAAATGTAAGCCACTTTGCAAGGCAGAAGGAGAAGACTTACACTTCCTTTTTTTTCTTTCCCTAAGTTTTCTTCCATGCATGTACAAGTGGACCTTTAATCGAAAAGTTTATGAAGTTACTGCAAGTCTGTGAGAATCATGTTGACCATCCTGTGCAATTAAGCTTTCTCATTAAGGAGCAAGCCCCATAGCCTGAATGCCTCAGAAGTGGCTGCAATGTTGTTTCACCCTGTATAACGGTATAGGAGAGTGAGGAGAACCTCAGCTCTGCTCCTCAGGATGAGGAGACAAACACGGAATGGCTGGACTGGCTGCCAGCTCCCAAACAGTACAAAACAAACACCACCAGCAGCAGAACCAAGTAATGCCCCAAAATTCACTCAAATCAGTGGCTGACAAACTCCTAAACATTGGGAATTCCTGTGTGGCTGCAGCTTAGTCCAGGGCCTTAGTCCAGGTCCGCTTTGATGGATCAAGGTATTCTGGAGGAGACAAACTATGCAGATGAAGCAGAGATGGAGTTTCAGTGTTCCATCCACCCCAGTGAAACTCATCCAGGCCCTTGGGTGTTCACGCTGTGATAAAGACATTGTGCCAGGACAGTTTCTGGTACCCAAGACATGAAACTTTCATCACATCTGCCAAGTTGATAAAGAAATTTCATGACTGCACACAGATAAAACATGAGGTGAATGCACTGTTTCAATCCCACTGGGATCCTCAGGGAGGTGAGTGGGACTTAAAATGCACAGAGGCTGGGTGCTAGTCTGCACAGGCAGGATGTGAGGCTGCAGGAGCAGGATCCACGGCTCTCAGTGCAGAGGGAAGGTTCTACCACATCCGGTACCACGTTTCCAGTAAATGCTTTCAGCAAGAGCCAGAGATGCATTCACTGTGTGCACGATGGGTTCACTGGACCTTGGCAGCTGCAGCACTGACATCCTGACAAAACTCTCCACATCAGAAGTCAGTTAAAGGCTATAGATCTCGAGAGAGAGACAAAAAGAGAGTTGTCATACTTAGGACAGATATTTTTCAAACAGAAATAAAAAAAATAACTTAAAAAAAACCAACTATTGTTTGAGGAACTAAAGCAATCCATGTTAAGTTGCTGGTTTATTACACATCCTGCTATGGCTCTGTATGAGAGTCTGAAAAGGCAGATTAGCACAAAGATTAGCAGAGAAACCTGTTTAGACTCAGCCAAACTCCAAGGGAGCCATTCACACTGACAAGAGACAGCACCCCTTGCTCCCAAGTGTCCTCTGCCAGCATGGGTAGGTTTTTAGCATGGCAGATGTCCCACAGAATTGTTTAGGCTGGAAAAGACTCTTAAGATCATTGAGTTCAACCATTTCCCCAGCACTGCCACATCCACCACTAACCCATGTCCCCAAGTGCCATATCTACACATCTTCTAAATCCTTCCAGGAATGGTGACTCCACCACTGCCCCGGGCAGCCTGTGCCAGGGCTTGGCAACCCTTTCAGGGAGGAATTTTTTCCTAATTCAATCAACCCAAAGCTCCCCTCCCACCACTGTTTCTTTCACTGGATCATACCATCCTGCTGCCCTGTCTGGCCAGGGTCGGTGGTGACCGACGGGCTGGGTGTATTGCTCTGCAAAAATCGACGGAAGTCCTTAATCATGGGGCGGAGGACCTGGATGAGGGCACTGAGAGCTGCCTGCGTGCCCTCCATGGCCTGGGCCTGCCGCTCCTGCGCACACGCCTGCACCTCCTGCGAGCGCCGGATCATCTGCAGCAAGTCGTTCTGCTGCTCCAGGTGCTGGGCAATCTCCTTCACGTGCAGGTTGGTCACTCGCTGCTCCTGCAGGAGCTTGGCTGAGTTGAGGGCAATGCGGCTTTTCAGCTCCTGGGGCTTGGCAGACACCTCGTGCTGATGGGCCATCATCTCCAAGGGCGCCTCGGCGGTCACGGCGGCGGGGGCTTCCGTGGTGCAGTACTCCACCACGCCGTCCTCCAGACTGTGGTAGGTTGTCTCTGCAGGAACTGAGAACAAAGGACAGAAAGGGAGTCAGGAGTAGCTGTGGTACAGGATTTTTATCTACGGGACTATTCAGTGAATATCACAGGAATACAGGCCTGTTCAGTGAGATAACACACAATGGCCAGCAATGCACAAAATGACCTATTTAAGTCTACTCCACCCTCAGTCGAGCTTCCTTCTGGGCTGTACAATCCAAAGGAATAGGGAATGCCTTATCTGTCTAGACAATATCATTTTTTCAATCTCCAGTTCAGAACAATCTTTCCAAGCAGCATGAACTGACTGGCATAACAGCAAAGACCCCGAATGGCCCCTGTGGGTAGAAGAGCTGCGCTTTGGGGAACTGCCACTGGAAAATCAGCCCTGAAGATGTTTTTCCCCGTGCTCTGGTTCCCAGAGAGGGACTGAAGCATCTCCCAAGGTGCAATGGATCCTTGATTCCCTTGTCCTCAAGGCTGAGTCCAGCTGTCAAAGCTGCCTTTCAGTACCTGCGTGTCTTGCGGCCACTCCCCTACACCACAAGGGCAGTCTGGGAGGAGCATTTCATTACAGAGACGTGGGGATTTCATTTTGCTGGGCTTTCTCTCTGCCCAAAGAACTCGTGGGCACCCTATCCCTGGAAACGCTCAAGGCCAGGCTGGATGCAGCAACCTGCTCTAGTACAAGTGTCTCTACCCCTGGGAGAAGGTTGGAACTGGGTGCTCCTTTCCAACCGCAGCCGTTCTGTGGCTCTGTCCCCGCACTGGGGGTGCTCTCGCAGGGGGTGCCGGTGCGGCCCTGCAGCAGCCCGGAGCGTTCCGGCAGCACTCACTCTGGGTCAGGGTGACCGTGGTGGCCGACGCGGTGATGGGGATGTCGCTCCCGTCACCCGCGCCGCACTCGCCGCTCGGCAGGCTGATGATGGTGGCCTCTCCCAGCAGGTTGCAGATGCGCTGCTGCATGGGCGTAAGGATCACCGGCGCGGCCGCGGCGCCCGCCGCCTCCTCGCCCTCGGGCCCGTTGCCGCCGCCGTTCTGGCTCTCGCCTCCGCCCTCCATGGCGGCCCGCACCTGGGCCACTTTGCGCCGCACCTCGGTCTTGAGGTCGGACCACTTCTTCTTGACCTCGGGCAGCTCGCGGTGGCAGGTGGCGACGGCGTTGACGCGGCGCAGGATGTCGTGCCAGGCGGCGGCCTTGGCGGCCAGCGGCACGCCCGCGTTGAAGTGGTTGACGAGGAGGTGCTTGCCCCGCTCCAGCTCCTCCACGATGATCTCCACCTCCCGCTCCGAGAAGTTCATCTTCCGCTTCTTGGCCGGGGGCGCCGGCGGCGACGCCATGGCCATGGGGGGCAGCGGGGACGGGGCACGGGGTCACACCTGGGGGGGACGCGGGGCAGGGCCGAGGGGCGGCAGGGCCCCCCCAGCCCCGGGGCCGGGGACAACAGGGGGGCCCCGAGGCCCCTCAGGGCCCCGAGGGCTCGGTCCCCCCCGCTCCCCCTTTGGCACCGCCAACGATACGCAAATTGCGTACGGCGCCCGCCCGGCAGCCCCGCGCAACGGCCCCCGCCCTGCGGCACTGGCGTAATGGCTTCCAGAATCGGCCCCTCTTCCTGCCACTCCTGATTGGTCCGCCCGCCTGCCCGTCACATGGGTTGCCCGCCCCCCGCCTGCATTGCCGCGTTATTATTGGTCAATAGGCCTGTCCATCAGGCAGACAAGAGGCGGCCCCGCCCCGCCGCT